CAATAATATATTAGGTGTGCAATACTTTTGTCAGGTAAAGTGTCCTGGCTTTGGAAGGGTGAGAAGAGAATTTGTCACAGCAGACTGTCTTTCAAAGGGCAGTTTTGATTATATGGTTAACCCGACATTTGGGCTGAGGAATTTAACCTCACCAGGGATGGGACTGGATTTTATTGAGCTCGCCTTATCCAAACTACAACATGCTTACTGCTTTCTCTCCACATTCCCCACATCTCAGCCTCCAGGACCAGCTACCAGCAAGTCATTTTGTCCATTTTCATTGGTCAGACCACACAAGGAACATCCTATTTCTTTAAATCTCTGAAGATCAAATTGCCATGCAGAAACCAACTCCCTATCAATTTTCTCCACATTTAATCCTCAGCTTCTTGTCATATGTTCATTTTTCTGCATTGGTTCCCATGGTAACGAGTCTATTGGCAGAGAAAGTGTGACTCTGCTTTTAGCCTTCTGTACAATACAAAATCCTTCTGTACAATACAAGATCCTCAGGCAAGTGTTGTATGAAAAGGCAGAGAGAGAGACTATGGTTCCCTAGACTAATGCCTTTAATCCCCTACCCCACTGATGTTCTTTCCCACCCTGTTCTCAAACCAGGCCCACTGCCCAGAATCCCTTCACCTCTTGATTCAAGTATTCGAAGCACCCTCCTACCCAACTACAGATGCCAGGACTGAACCTTTTTTATTCAGATGGCGTCCTCTTCTGTCAGTGACTTACAGATAGAAATGTTTAACTAATGGCAATGGCTATTTGGAGGCAACACAGAAGCAACTTGCACTCATTTTTCTATAAAATATCCTCAGTATGCATCTGAGATGTATACAGCCCAGGGAATACGTAGGTCCCAAATGGGGCCTTAAATCGGTGTCTAATTTTAGGACAACGGGAGACAAGTAAACAGATTTTCTTCCAATGAGTAGTTAAGTGGCACATGAGGGGAAGGCAAGGAGTCATCATAGAGAATCGAGCTCTTGAGGAAGAGGAAGAGATAACAAAGATGTAGAGAAGCAAAGGAAACCTTGGAAGTGGTGGCTCATATGTGGCTACAGTTGGGACAATTCAGGGTTCAAGTAAGGAAAAGGTAAGAAACCTACCAAACGTGAAGGAAATGGAGCATAGTGAAAAAAGGAGTTTTTGAGTAAACCGTCTGCAGAACGGGAGCCTGCAAATGAGTGAATAGCTTTCTGCAGACTTTGGCCCAACTCCATTTACAAAATATTTTTCCAAGGAATCTTTCCCTTAGTAACAGATTATATATTTTATTTTGAATTCTAGAATTCCACTGTGGCTTGGCAGTAAGTTATAGGCCTAGCAACCCCAAATCTCCTATGTCCTCAGAACTTAGAAAAAAAATCAGGAACTGTTCATCAGAAATTAAACACATGCTGAATGTGCTTATTTTTTTTTTTAAAGTTAATGAATTCAGGGGAATGAAAATAGATGTTAGAAATAAAAATGTGGGTATCTCTAGTTAAGAAAATGAATGATCAAATGTAAATGATTCTTTTTTTCGTTGGGTCTTAAAAAAATATGTGATCCTTAAGCACAGTGAAGTTTTAAAGTCAGCTGATTATATTGTACAAAGGTATTTTTGGCCCTTTAAAGATTATTTTCCTACATTAAGAAAAGTTTTCTTATATTAAAAACTTTTTATTGTGACTCAGGTTTTGTGTCTCATATAGACACAGGTATATAGGTGTTTTTCTTTGCACACTTGTTTTGCACAGGTAAAATAATGAGATTAAATAATGCCCAGGTATGCAGGTCAACTTTTATGGTAGTTAAAGGAAAGCATTTGATGAATGGACAAAAGAAATCACATAATATTTCTTTGTATCTTTCCGTCTCTCTTCCCCTTCCCCAGTGCTCTACTAAAGAACATCTATTTAGTCAGGAAATCTTATGTAATTTTTTGGAAAGTCCATAGGAAAAACAAGTTGCAAGTCTCAGGCAGATACAACATAAAGCGGTTCCCATATTTGTTAGAATTGTAATTTATTTTCAGAATGTAATGCCAAAATAAATTTTATATTCAATACTTGTAGAGTCTTTCCACTCAGAGGACTCTCATTGGTCTTGAATGTGGAAAAGACATCTGTTCAGGGCAGTGAGTAATGTTGTATGTTAAGTTTTACTCTAGGAAATTTGGTTTTAGCTTTGATGACACCTAGTGTCAATGGAATGCAATAAACGTTTTATACTGCTTTCTGATGTTTAAGTATTTCCCTATAACATCCTCAACTGCATTTTTCTCCTTGAAAACGCTAGCCTTACTGTTTTCTGTTTGGAATGAAGAGAAAGATAACTGATAAGCTGGATATTTTTGTCTCAAAGCCAGCAAGTTTCTTTTTGGACTCAGTGTGTAGAAGGGACTAAAGGAAGCTTAAGGACAATGGCATTGTCTTCATATAAGGAGTAATTTTTTCCTAGTTAAAAAAATCAGAGGTGAATCTACTAAATTGTTTGTAAATTTCAAAGACCATCTCAAATAACTGTGTAAAAGTAAGGTTGTTAGTGCTGTAGTTTCCTTTTTCCCACTTTTTAACCATCCAACAGCACCCCCCACCCAGCTGTATATAAGTAAACCGTAATATGAAATATGGTCTCTTTCTACTCAGAGAAGAAGTATTAACAGCAGCAATTATAAATAGACAGTGATAGATTTTTAATTGGTCTATAAAGAATTATAAGTAAAAGGATATTAGGTACTAGGTTTTTAGACTTTTAAGTATCCATGAAAATTGTTCTTTCATTCCTAAAGTAACTGACAATTAATTACTTTGGATCTTAGTTATTGGGGGGGGCACGACTCAATCTTTTTATTCCTGTGTAAAGACATTCTAATTCCACCTATTTATATTAATATTTTTCATATGCTAAACACATGTGCATACATACAAATTATCCATTTTTCCTTTGAGATCATATAATTCAGTTAGTGAAATATTTCACTCTTCTTTAAGAAAAATTCCTATGTAGTGATGCAACATCGGGCCACTATTTTAGTAAGATGAAGACAGTCTTCTAGACCCATTCTTTTTCAACATCTGACTTCACTACCATATGTGCAGGACAACAGTGACATCTTAAGGCCAAGTAACTAGAACTCCTTTAGCCAGAGAAAGAACTTGAATTGAGATCTGTTCTCAAAGAAATTTCATTATGTTATCAAGTAGTTTTCAAGTTCACAGTTTGCAACTGGTATATCTTTATAAATACTACTTTATGACTTCTTTTGCAGTCTTTGTGAACATTTTAATGTGCACTGGTAAACACTTAACATTTTACATAGACATACTGTATATTAATGCATGCATTTCATTGCATAGTTTATTGACACTCCCCTTGTAAAGCTTTTATGGAAGAAACAACAAGCCACAGCAGTATAGCAAAAGAGGCTTAATCTTTATAAATTGGGGCCTTTTCTGTCTCTTTGCTAGCCTAGGTGGCTGTATACAAATTTGGGTGGGAGGGGGCAAGAAACAACTCTTAACATTTAAGGTTTTCTACATGGTTGAACTCTAGCCAATTCAAAATAAATTGCTTACTTTAGTAAAAAATTTTACCATTTTATAAAAAAATTAAATCATGACATGTTTAATTGAAATGGCTGTATTGTAATTAATATTTTGAGATAATTGTGATTTTGAGCTTCAATTATATATAAAAAGTTGTCATTTTTGTATGTGCTAAAAATGTATCACAATTAACAGTACTTTTTAGTTGAACTACATATTGATGTAAATAAAAACTGAATGAAGACATATTTACTACTTTATTAACATAGATTGTGAATGTACTTAATGGTTTTTTTGCAGTATGAGACCATAATGACCTTGAAAGCTGCTTCATTTTATGTGCAAAGGAGTCCTATGAATCTATATTTTAAATTTACTGAATCAGTGAAATTAATTACTTTGTCAGTTAATTTGCAAATGCAAGCTGTACTCTCCAGTTTATTTTATGTATTGACACTAATTGGTAAAGGTGTACAATGTGATTAGGATGCATTTTGAAGATGCTTTCTGTACAGATACAAAATACAGGGACTAAAATAATGCTGTGCAGTGTATAGCAGAGCCATTTTTCGGCTTTGGTGTACTCAACTTTTTCAGTATTTAAAAATGTGTTTTGAATAACATAAAAGTCTCTTTATTGTATAAATAATAAAATGTCACCTTATTGTAAAGTGTCTTTTGTTTAATATCGAAGCAGATTTCTTAGCCACAGAGCTGTAGTATGAAAAGGGTTTTTTTTTTTTAAGCCAAAACAACCATTATAATCAATACTGGAAATATTATGAACATGTTGTATTTTTATTAGCAATGCACTTTTTCATAATATGAGCATGCTTCAATCACCCAAAAGCTAGCTACCTACCTATCTATATAAATTAACATACACTCTATTGATGGGCTATAGCTTTAACAGAATCACATGGTAAGTTTTATAATGACTGATCAGCCTACCTCTGACATTTTTGGTGTAAACAGAAATATTTCTATTTTCTTTTTACTAAATCAAGTTAACCTGTAATAAATTCCCCTTTAGAAAGTTTCCATAGGACTACAAGTTTAGTCTTATGAAGATTAGAAGTAAATTTGAAAAGTAAGGCCTTGGAAATGAAAAAAAAAAAAAAACAAACAAACAAAAAAAAAACACAAGTCTGGATTAGAACACACCAACAGAGTAGATAACGTATACAAATATCTGCTTAGTAAGTTACTAAGAAATTTCAAAGATTTCTATGTGGTATATGTTATTAGTTATTTTTTGTTGCTGATATCTATAGAATTAAAGTAAGTTCTTCAGTACTTTTGTAAAGAAGAACAAAAGGTATTTTTAAACGCACTCTGAGGGAAAAATATGCAGATCCAACCCCTTCAAATTTCTTGAATCTACAAGTAGTAGGTTACTGTATGGAAACTTAATAGTAAGAAATTATTTTATAAAAACTTGAATTCAAAACTATGAGAGTAATTTAAGCAATACTTTTACTGTTTTCTCTACCAATAACTACATCTCATGTAACATTTCTGTTACGTTAGAAATTATGACAAAATGGTTTCATAAAATGTGGGGAAAAGGCTAGACAAGAAACATTTCAACTAGATTAAAACAAAAGCAACTAGATTAAAACAAAAAGATAGTGACTGTTAATTTAAAACTTATGCCAAGACCAACCAAATCACAGAAGTCTTACCATGGGTAAGGAAAAGCCTTACTTTTTAAATGCCAAAGAACAGTTTTAAATAAAATTCAATTCAATTTTATATCTAACAGAAAGGTAGAAATTAGATTATCATATTCAAATCAACTGGTCACATTAAATGTAACACAAACAGAAATGGTGGGAAAAATCCCACTTCTACAAAAATGCTTTATCATTATAAAAATATCAAACTAACTTAAATAAAAATCCACTTCTGAAGAAACTGTTTCCTATCTTATAAGGAATGAAAGTAAGATAAACCTTATGCAAAACTTTCAGAATAAATGCATGAACACTGTATGTGGCTATCATCATTACAAATGCACAATACCTTAGAAAAATGTTACTTATCAATGTAAGAAATCTAAGAATTAACATAACCAAGATATAAAACCAACTCTCAATTTAAGTAGGAATCCGGTCTCTCAAATATTCCAGAATAGCAGCTGTTCCTTTCATTAATATGGCTGCTCGAGGAACACGGAATGGATTTCCATCTAGTAGTAGTGTTCTAAACAAAAGAGAGAATTAAGAATTATAACATTTTCCATTAGGGAGGCTTTTCTTCTAATTTCATTTGCAATTTTATAAATAAATCTGTGTATTTTTCTCTATTTGTCCCTTTTCAAATCAAAGCATTTCAATAGTTGGAATTAGAACTACAATAATAATTCAAATAACATTAATTGAATACTTATTATAGGAAAGGTATTGTGCTGAGTAATTTATATTCACTGACTCTCTCAATTATCTTAACAATCCTATGGATGGAGACACCACGGATATTCCTATTTAGTAGATAAGGAAACATAAGTTCAGAGAAGACATAGACGTGTCCCAAGATCACACCACTGTTAAACTGAGGAGCTGTGAGCCACCATTTTACCCATCTTCTCCTCAATCTTATAATGACCATATACTACATGGTTGAATTATATTTATACATTAGAATGAGCATACTTATCAGTATACCAAGGGCTATAATGTAATCAGAATATGCCCCCTCCACCATGGTAAACATTGAGAAATCCCTGCTCTCTACCTCCCTTGACCAGATACACACAGAAAATCTATTTGCGTGTTCTAAAATGAGGTTCAATTAAAATTTGAGGACTGGTTGACTTGTTTCTTTATAAAATTAATGAAATAAATTATAAGATAAAGAGACTTTTAATTTTTAATACTATAAGTGTTTGTATCAACAAAAGCCAAAGGATTCATACCATATTATACAACAGATCTAAATGATATCTTCAATATTTCCATGGGCTGTGGGGATTCTTTTGAAGGTTGATTTTCTTAATTTATAAAAAGGAATGAATTACAGCCAATCCTCATTATTCACAGACTCCGTATGTGCTAATTTGCCTACCACTAAAAATTATTAGTAACCCCAAAATCAATACACAGGGCACTTTCGAGGTCATTTTTGGATACGCACAGAGAGCAAAAATTTGAGTCAATCACTAGGCACATTCTCAGCTGAGGTCAGAAAGGTGATACTCTCCCTTCTTGTGTCAGTTCTCACACTGTAATCAAGTGTCCTTTCTGTGGTCTACTTAGTCATGCAACAGTTTTTGCATTTTTGTACTTTGTGTTGGTGATGTCACTGTTTAAAATGGCCTGCAAGTGTAGTGCTGAAGTGTTTACTTTTCCTAAACGCAAGAAGGCTGTTGTTTGCCTTCCTGAGAAAACATATATACCAGATAGGCTTCATTCAGGCATGAATTATAGTGTTGTTTGGCCAGTTTAATGTTAATGAATAAATAATATTAAATACAGAAACACACATACAAGGTTCCATATTGACTGGTTCGTGAAAAGGTGATCAGAGGCTCGAAAGAGCCTAACTTTATACTTCCCCTAGCAATAATGGTTCAGTATTCACTAATTTGGTGTTCACGGAGACTTTATAAAATATAACTACTGCAAATAACAAGAAGAAACTGTATTTGCCTCTTACAATTCACTAATATGAGGCACCAAAGCAGATGTCAGTGCTGCCCTAGTAAAATATGCCCATCATATATAGTTTCCAATAATTAAATTCCTTTTGACACATTCTGCTTAAGTACTTGGCTTTCTATTGACATCTTAAACTCTCTTTATATTCATTTAACAAGCACTTATTGAGTGCTTACTGTGTTCTAGGCACTGGGACAATGCTTTTCTAAAGGAGGAAAAAGAAATGATACAAATGAGTCCAAACAAAGCAGGATGGAAAATCAGAGGGAGGGACTAACTCCGCTTGGAGAAGAGGAAAGGTTTTCAAAGATGATATTTAGGTTGATAACTGATAAAAGCAGGGTAGAGGCATTTGAGGCTAAGGTAACAGTCAATGCAAAGAATAAGAAAGACAATGCTGGCCTTGAAATAAATGGTGATAATCTGTAATCAGATTTTAAAAAACCTCGTACGCATAACTGGGGAGTTTATATTTCCCTGACATTATTTTGCAGTGGAGTTTCAGGTTATACACATACACAGTGATGACAAAAGTATCCGAAAACAGTTACTATATGTACACATATATGATACCATACAAACCAAGCTTAAAAATATATTATTTGGTAAAACTTGAAAAATGGAATTGGGATTCTGGATTTTGTTACCTGTTATTTTTAACACAACATTAAATTTTTTAATTCAACTTTCCTGTGAGAGTACCTCAACAAGAGAAAAGAAACAACTTATGAATTGATCAAATAAATGGAAACACTTAGTAGAATATAGTGTAGTTACCTTAAGGTCACACAATTACCAAGCTCGGGTGGAATTTGTAGGAGGTCATTATTTTGAAGGTCCAATGTCATCAGATTTTCCATTGCCTTCATTTTCTGAGGGTCTACAGATCCAACCTGATTGTTACTAATCAAAATTGTTTCAAGTGTGGGGATGTGATACAGAACTTCAGGTAGTATTTTGAACCTATTAAAATATGAACACAACACCCAACTATATTGGGATCAAAGCAAAAATCATTCCTTCAAATAGATGATCTTAAGTTTGATATCATGATATAGTTTCCTTTAGGGTAATTTATTTTATATTTGATTTAAGTCCTGTATTCAAATTTCAAGAAAATGAACTGATTTTAGAAACCTTGAAATATATGTTAACTACATAGACTTGTAACATTTTCTATTAATTGTGCAAATGCAACAAAAGTTTAGAGTAAATTCTCCTATGTTTTTCTTTTCACATTTAATAGATAAGGAAATCCTCCTGAGATTCTACATAAAATGTCCCCATGCAGGTATTCTTCCTTAGTTTGCTTTTATTTCTTATGAAACAGAATTACTACCAATATATTAAGTAAATATTAGAAAGTTATATTTTACGTTGATGGAAGCTTCCAAAATGTGTGCATTTTTGGTTTTTGAAAAGATGACTAACATGGGCTGCTGCTTGCTCATCCAAAGCAACACTGAAGATGTCACAAAAAAGAAGGGAAAGCTGACTGCCCTCAGAGCAATACTCAGCAATTAATGCAACATTATTGAGGATCTCTTGGGGGACAGAGGCTGGCATGGTTTCAGTGTGAGATAAACTGTGGTACGGGCTAGAAAAGACAAGGGATGAGCTGAAGGAGAGATTTATAGCTGTGGCCTTTTTACTTTCCTATACTGCCCTTCTTTTGCTGCCTTGATAGAAGGAAGGAAGGAAGGAAGGAAGGAAAGAAGAAAGGAGGGAGGGAAGAAGAGAAGAAGGAAGGAAGGGAGGAAAGATAAATAGATAAAATCAATAGCAAGCATAAATTCAAGACGGCTCTGAAGTTCCAGAGTGACTGGAGAGTTAATAACTAGGAGTACAGAGGGACCACACTGCCCCAAAGCAATCCTTCCTCTTCTTCCCACCAATGCACGAATAAGGTAATTTACAAAGATGTAGCTCACCTGCTGACACAGAAGTTAGGGTTAGCTTTTGCAATCTTCCCTAAGACATTACTTGACAATGTGACTGACCGCTCACTAGACAATAGAGAACTGATAGTTCAGTTCTTAAATAAAATTAGCAGAGATCTGAGAAGTGTATATATTTTTAAATAATGACAAAAATGATATAACCTACACTTGAAAAACCACGAGCAATAATGAAGCAGACAGAATAGAAATTTAGATAGGCATTTTTTAGACACATCACTCTGCCTTAGCTTCCTTAACTGCAAATGAGGAATAATAATGGTACTAAACTTACACACTTGTTATAAGGACTAAATGATTATATTTCAGCTGGAATACAGTAAACAAATGTTAGCTATTAATATTTAGATTGTTACCAGAATCAACGTGCATTATACAAAACAAATGATATAGTTGTTAAGAGCCCAACCACTGGAGGCAAGCCACCGGGGCTCAAACCCCAGATCTATAATGTTGTATTTATATGAACCTTAGCAAAACATAAATATCTAATATTTACTTAATATACTGGCAGTAATTCTGTCTCACAAGAAGTAAAAGCAAACTAAGGAAGAATAGCTACATGGAGAAATTTTATAGACACTCAAGATGATTTCCTTAACTTCTAATCCTCATAATGACAGAAAACCACCTTTTGTGAGAATTAAATGAGAGAATATATGCACTTAGTCCTGTGTCAGCAGATAATAAGTCCTAAATAAATATTAGTGACTCCTAATTATTAGCAGCATCTTCAGACTGAGGAATAAAATCTTAGTTGGCATACAAAGCTCTGACAGGACTCACTACTGCTCACATGCCCAAATTCATTTGTTCTTTCTGTTCCTTTATTCCCCACCCCCTTTATGGCCCAAGCCATAGCAAACTTCTTGAGCTGTCCCAAACACACCATGCTCTTATGTTTGTGCTTAGTACATGCCAGTTGCTCCGCCTGGGATGCCCTATTCCTGAGTGTCTGGCTGATAACTCATTTTTAAGTCTCAGTTTCAATGCTATCTCCTCTGCCTTCAGGCAATCTCAGGAAACACTTTTACCTATGCACTGCATTTTCACTATAGCAATCCTCATTACTTATTTATATATCTGTCTTCCTATTTGGCTACAAGTTTCTTAAAATTGTTAAAAGGAACAAAAAGTCTACTGGATATCAGCTGTGAAAATAAACCTGGATATTTAAATAAAGTAAACAAACACATGGGGCCTTTTTATTTGGCTCTTTCAGGTGTATTCTCTAAGTCCTTCAAATTCTCTACATAAAAATCCTTAGTCATAGATTAGTCTGTTCTGTCTCTCACCTGTTAAAGGATAGATTAATTGTTTGTAGTCTTATCAGTGATTCCATTTCTTCAGGCAAAGAATTTAAAAAATTGTTCCTAAATTGAAAAGAAAAAGATGATTTACAAAGTTTGAAAATATGTATAATTTTAATTTATAATTAAAGTGTTGATCAGTTAGATTTGTCTTTGGCTCGGGTCATGATCCCAGGGTCCTGAGATCGAGTCTCACATCGCATCAAGCTCCCTGCTCATCTGGGAGTCTGCTTCTCCCTCTCCCTCTGCCCCTTCCCTCCGGTGGTACTCTCTCTCTGATGCATGCTCTCTCTCAAAGTAAATAAATAAAATCTTAAAAAAATAAAGTGTTGATCAGACAAAAAATTACGTAGCTCTGTTAGTCCTTGATCTGATCTCATTAAGGCTGAGTCCTGAGAATTCTGAATCAGTCAACTGATTAGTTGATTAGTGTGCCAAATCCTAATACCAATACACAACCTATAAAGCAACCAACTCTTTAGTAATACATTTAACAGGGCAAAACCCTGTAAACTAATTACTTATTTCTTTCAAACTGATCTCAGAAATACGTCTCACAGATAGGGCCCTTGAAATCATGCCACATTGTTTGATTCCACAAATATTTGATTGGTGTTTAACACATGTATCTTGCATACAGACATGAAATTCTACTCTAAGCAGAACTGTAAAATTTTATGAAAAAAAAAATGAAAGAGGAAAGTGACAAGATTCTATATATTTAGAAATTTGGGGCTTTCTACTGCAGATACTAAGCAAGTCCATTTCTCCACTAAGTTTAAAATTTCAATTTGCCCAATGCATATATTTTTTAAGATTCTTAGAATGAAGCATGGGTGTAAACAGAATCTTATTGTTAGAAGAATCTGGGAACAATGTTAAAGGTTAACAACAAGAAGGCAGAAGGATTCTAGAGCCTATATAATTACTTATAATAGAAAATATTGTGAGAAAATTATATTCAACTAGATGGTTATTACCTATTACAACTGGGTAATTTTCTCTAAATTTTTTTGTGTTCAGAAGTCAAGCCTACTAATATGTTAGTCATACTTTCTACACCTATGTTTTTTTCTTTTCTCTGTACAGCTAATGTCTTTATTAAGCTGTACCAAATACCCTACTGCTGGTTTCTATCCTTTTCCTAGAGTCTAATATACCTACTGGTATCAGGTAAAAAGTGTACGTTAGAGACGCCTGGGTGGCTCAGCCAGTTAAGGGACTCCCTTCGGCTCAGGTCATGATCTCAGGGTCCTGGGATCAAGCCGTGCATCAGGCTCTCTGCTCAGTGGGGAGCCTGCTTCTCCCTCCCACTCTGCTACTCCCTTACTTGTGCTCTCTCCCTCTCTGTCAAATAAATTAAAAAAATAAAATAAAAATAAAATAAATAAAAGTATACATTAGTTACTTAATTAGAAACCTAAAACTATAAACAATGGCATACACACACACCCCCTAAAGAATGGGACAAAAATAAAGAGAACAGTAATGAGTGCATTAATCCATTCTCTCCTCTCCATTAATACTGACCTACAATATGGTTTTACACTGCTTTGCCAGTGTGACTGCCACCCCAAAACAGAAGCAATTCTACATTTAAAAGGAGCAGAGTATTAGTAGATTTGCTTTAATCCCAAAAGCAAAAAAAAAAAAAGCAAGCCTCTATAGATAGAAAAATCCTCAGATATAACTTAGCTTATTGTTATTTACCTATTGCTTGAGCAGAGCACAAAGAGCTACCGCTGAAATAAACTAAAAGCACACCTAGTAATTATACATGAGTAAGAAGTGAAGATAATAGAGCTATAGCTTACAAATAAAGACTTAAAGCCCAAACAAATAAATATTTGACTATCTACCTCTGAGTCATTTATTATTACCATCAAAGAACTGTGGCAATTCTGATCCTGTCACTTCAACTTAGGACATATTTAAATTAAACTTCCTATTACTTCTGCAGAGCCTTAAATAGTTTCTTCCCTTTTGTTGCCAGTCTTCGGGGTCTTTTTCTTTCTTTCTGGCCTTGAATGTTTACTGTAATATTTTGAAACCAAATAGGTTCTTCTTAAGAGAAGCCATGCTATCCTCTATGCTAGCACAGGATTTTTGACAGTTTTATGCTATTTACTTTCAGAAAAGGAAAAACAGGAAACAAACATTTTCCATGGGTTATTTGTAATTTTGCTTAAGCATGAATTTAAAGAATGTGTTAATATGCTCTACTATTTTAAAGAATTATTTCTTATTTAACTTACAAACTGCCTACAAATGATAGATATTTGATTAAAATATTTCCTAAATGCTGAATTTTAGATTTGTCCTAAGATGTAATTAATAAACTAAAAAGCAATTTCCACACTTACTTAGGAAACATGAGGGAACAAGTAAATGTTAGGCAAAACTCAAAGACAAGTTATAATGAAAAAGTGAAGCAATAACATCAATAAATACCTGAGATCTAAAAAAGTCAACTTTTGAAGCATACATAATTCCAAGGATATAAAGGAAAGTTTATTAAAACTGAGATTGACATCAGAAACCATTTCTTTCAGTTCCACAATTCTGAAACAAAAATAATTTAAAAATGTTAGCTCTTGAATTCACTGTCAGAACTTCAAAACTACAAGCAGACAATAGGAGGAAAAAATCCTATATTATTTTTGCTAGTTAAGATTTTCTGTAACTTTTACTTTTCTCACAATTTCAATCAGTTTGTATTCTATAACAGGTTTTTTTTTAGGTTGCACAGTATAATATTCTCTGTATCTGAGTACTTCAGAAAGTTTTTTAACTATGATATGTCAACATTATTAAAGTATAGTATTTTTTGTCCAAATTATCATTAGATTAATCATGACTTCAAGAGAATACTAAGTTAATTCCTAGGTTTGGTAAGTGTTATGACTACACAACTTAAGTCAAAGACTTAAAGAGAAAGACTTAACTACTGCTAAGTAAGTCTACTCAACCTTAGTGATTTTAAAGCACGTTATTAACTAAAAGAACAAGAAATGTTAGATATGATTTGCCAAGAAATGAAACCATATGAAAGAAAGACTATCAACTGCTGTGTTAAAGAAAGATGAGTTTGGATATGTAACTGATAAAACTTTTTTGGAAAGTTTTTTGATATATGTATTGAGAGCCATACTCCTTTAGGTAATTCTTCTGGAAATCTGGTTGAAAAAAACAGTATGTTTTGTTTTATTTATTGCCATAATCAACCTGTAGTATATAGACAGATTTTAAAAGTATTATTTACAACATAGGAAAACACTTAGGACAAGTAAACCAGTTAAGATACAAATTGTATATATAATTCTAAAGGGGAAACAGTTTGAAATAAAACATGCCATGAATAGCAATAGGACTACAAAAGATCTGTCCCTTGATTTCGTCCAAAATTTTATGAGTAAGTATTATTTTCACAATCAGGAAATCATATAAGGAAATGTATGACTTGTGAAAAAAAAAATTAAAGGAAAATTACTCAGAATCTCTCTAGATCAAGTTATGTCCTTACTATCTCTTCTTTGGTCATCTAAATTGCCAGAAATATGATGAAATAATGGAGGTAACAGAATACCATACTGTTTTGCATATGAACTACCAGGTTGAGGTAAAATGAGAAAGTAAGTAGTAAGGTGATGTGTTTTAACTCCTTCCATCTTCATTCCCAGTTTTGATCCAGGATCCCCCAGGCAAACCTATCCTGAGAGCAAATCTAACTGCTCAGTTCTTCTATCAAGTATTCTCAGAGCCCTTTAAACAAGAGAGGAGATGAAATAGATCTCTTTTTGCTATGGAATCTCAAAGTTAATTTACTTTTAAGATCTATATTCTCCAAACTAGGCCCTGCAAAACAGAAAGCAAGTTAAAGTTTGTCTGACTGTTTAAAAATTTTAAACATCGAAAAAATGTTTTTGACAGTCAAATTTTATATTCCCAATCACTTTTTTTTTTTTTAAAGTACTTAAGTGCTTACTAAGTGCAGGCACTGGTTAAATGCTCTGTGTGGATTATGTCATTTAATTTAATTCTCATAAAATATGTACTTTAGTATCTTTACTTCATAGGTAGGGAAACTAAGAGCAGCTAGTTAGCCTGTTGAAAGCCACACAGCTCACTGATCTGGGTTACAGATACAAGCAATTGACTCCATTGTCCAAGTTCTTTACCTATTCCGTCTTCCCTACTGTTGTTTTACTTGTCAGCTTTCTTTGGGTATATAGTTTACTGCAAGATAACAATCATTTTAAAAGTTCCATATCATACTAAACTAATTTTCTCTCATAACCTAAAGATTTGCCATAACTAATATCAACAAAGCCATACTGAACAGTACAAGTACAATGGACATGACTTCTAGTATTTGATAGTAAAGAATCCTTTTCTGGGAGGAAAATATTAACAGGATTATCTGTTTTTTATTGCTTTTACTATTAGTGAAAAATTCAGTGGCTTAGCAATTCATTAACATACAGCCCAAAATGAAAATTCCTATTAATCCACATGGACCTGGCTTTGGATGGTATCTTAAAACTTTTCCTCTAGTATTTCATTACATGGAAAAATTTATACTTTTACTAATTCTAATACCTATTTTCCATGTTTAAAATATTAAAGGAAAAGAAATCAAATTTTAAAAAAGTTATATACCTCTCAGAACTGATGTTAATATGTCTCAGAGAATACTTAATTGTAATTTGTTAAATCCCTCAAATATCAATAATGAAAAAAACCCTACATATGTTTTAAATTAAAAAACATGAAAAATCGTTATTCGTATCACTGAGATGCAAACAAAACTGAAATGAGTCACAACTTAACAGAAATGACATCATGAACAATTCTCACCTTTTAGGAATTTCACATAGCTGATTCTTACTGAAGTTAACAGAAGTGATAATGTTGCTTTTCACTGCATCAAATACTTCATCAGGAATTAAAGTTGTTTGTTTATCACTAAATGAAAAATGATTTAAAAATGCATCATCCTTAGTAGTCCAGAAAGATATGATTATTACTTTTCACTTTTAAAGGCCCTTAAAGATTTTGTTTTCAACGCAGAAGGCAGTTGTTTATGAAGAACAGTGAAAAAGAATGCCACAAAAACCTACAAACTCACAAAATATTCACCATTAAGAATTCAGACAACATATTGTATCACAATACATTGTACCATACCTTCTGAGCATTCACATACTCAGTGTGAATAAAACTAGATATATCTTCAGAGTCCAAGATGTTTAGAAAACACATAGTAATGGACAGTAATTAGTAAATGGATTCCTCTACCTCAGAATAGAACTAATCTATAATTTTAAAGCTGTTCCCATCCCTTTTCTCAGGGACTATCTGCCAACTTTATGTAGCTATATAGTTAACTGCAAGGTAACAATCATTTCTAAAAGTTCAACACTGTGGCACCTGGGTGGCTCAGTCACTTAAGTATCTGCCTTTGGCTCAGGTCAGGATCCCAGGGTCCTGGGATTGAGCCCCACATTGGCCTCTCTGCTCAGCAGGGAGCCTCTTCTCCTTCCCCCTCTGCTGTTCCCCCTGCTTGTGCTCTCTCTGTCTCTGTAAAATAAATAAAACCTTTAAAAAAATAAATACAAATTAAAAAATAAAAGTTCAACATTATACTAAACAGTTTCTGAGCCAACTTCTCTATCTTTTAGCATGTGACATGGTAGATAGGGTAGTGGCCTTAGACTAAACCATTCCTGGTTTTACCATTAAGGAGCTTTTTAAAAAATTACTTTCTCTTAACCTCAATTCTGTGAAATTAGAATCTGAAGAGCTATTGATTGTTACGTGGGCCAGACCTTTTGCAAAAATTATTTTTTTTTTGCAAAAATTTTTTTGCAAAAAAAATTATTTTGCAAAAATAAATGTAAATAAATTTCCCTTTCAATAAGATTTTCAATAAAGCATACAATTAATCTTAAATGAAAGTATAGTAGTACTCTGACATTTGCAGATTTAACAATTTGTTGATGTTATAATTAGCCATTTGTCCCCACATTCTTTTTTTATAATTTTCAATACCTAATACATCATCCACTTAGAAATATTGTTGCTAGAATGCCAAATTAATGACTTTATGAACAAGAAAACAATTGTTACATATAAAGTCCAATATAGAGAAACCTGTAAGAAAGGCACTGTAATACACATAGGTAAAAAGACAGCCTAAATTTCAGTTTTTATACCTTCTACTTCTGCTGTACGGCCCTATCTTCTATGTGTCAATAGGATTTTTATCTTTTTAATCAGAAATGCTCAAATCATGGGGAACTGATTTATCGTAATCGAACACTGAAGATTACACTCTTTCAAAAAAATTTAGTTGAAGGCATTTATGCTTTGATATTAGGAATCGTTTATATTTTAAATGGAATACTCCTTTTCAATTAAAAGTCTCTGAGGAAAATAAATTATAATAAATTTAGAATCAAAACAATCTAAGATGTATGGTCTTCAGTACTATCTTTAAAACACTTTTGTGATATCTATGGCTTTGTTTTTATTTTTATTTTTTTAAAGATATTATTTATTTGAGAGAGAGACACACAGCAAGAGAGGGAACACAAGCAGCGGGAGTGGGAAAGGGAGAAGCAGGCTTCCCGCAGAGCCGGGAGCCTGATGCGGGGCCCAATCCCAGGACCTGGGATCATGACTTGAGCCTGCCCAGGACCTGAGCCGAAGGCAGATGCTTAACAACTGAGCCAGCCAGGCGCCCTGATATCTGTGACTTTAAAAAGTGGGAACTGTTATCTCAAATAAAATTGTATCAATATTACTATATAGATTGTTTGGAAGATTAAAAGCAACAGCATATGTAAAATACCTAGTACATTGCCCAGCACAGAATACGGACACAATATATCGTTTCCATTCAGGGATGAGGGAATGAAGGCAGAGAAAAAAAAATTCTAAGGCAGGAATCAAGTCTGTCTCATCATCATTTGGTATATTATGACACCTACCATAGGATTTGAAACCTAGTAGGTTCCAACAATGTCTATTAATAAATGGGTACATTATGTGGAAGAGAAGCATGCTAAGCTACCATGCTATGCTATGAGAAAAGAGGGATACAAATATAAATATGGAAGAGTACATCTTGTGTTACAGTGTCAAACAAGCAAGCTGGCTTAGAGTAGGGATTTCTACATACATCAAAGAGTGTTAGACTAGAGGTAAAAACAATGTGAATGAAACAATAGATCTGAACTAGAAACTGTATCCTGACTTTTGAGAAGGTCAGTGGGTCCTACTGACATATTAAGGAAAAGAGGCCAGACACCAATGCTTACTGTTAGATAACTGAATAACTCTGGTCATCTGATTTGAACTTCAGTCTGTATCCTTTTGTATTTTCATTACAATATCCAGACATGAACTAATCACTGTAGAAGCTTTGACAGCATTGGTTAATTTTATCATTGTTGCCTAGATAGTACTGAAAGAATACTTAACAATATTTGCATAGGTATCTTCTTTCCCCAATCAAATACATTTCCATAATATAAACATTTTTAGACTTTTATATCAACTTATACACCAATATTGCAACTGTTCCAGGTTTAATATATATGTACTAGAGCATAATATTATTATGGCATATTACTTGGCTTAGATGTATTAATGGGGTATAACCTCTCAAGCTTTGCCTGCTTAAGGTCTTCATTAACTAACTGATATTAATTTCTTATTTACTAGTAGAGTCTTTCCCAATATAAAATCCTCTTGATACTGTTTACTGAGTCAAAAAACTTGACTACCAAACAATACTTTCATCTTATTTTTTATAACAAAATGTTCTTTATTATAAAAATGTCAATATTAATAAACATCTATCTCTTAAGCATAATAAATATAAATCACTGAAGGAATGGTATTTAAGTTCACTGACTTTTTTTTTTTTTAAAGATTTTATTTATTTATTTGTCAGAGAGAGAGAGAGGGAGAGAGAGCAAGCACAGGCAGACAGAATGGTAGGCAGAGGCAGAGGGAGAAGCAGGCTCCCTGCTGAGCAAGGAGCCCGATGCGGGACTTGATCCCAGGACACTGGGATCATGACCTGAGCCGAAGGCAGCTGCTTAACCAACTGAGCCACCCAGGCGTCCCAGTTCACTGACTTTTAATATGCTTTTATCTCATCACTGTTTTTGCATCACTTGCTATTAATCTAAGTACAAATATACTCTGATGAATTCTTCCTCACCAACTTTCCTTTTATCTGAAGGATTATTTCTCAAAGTTTTCTGTATGTTTTGCAGTGTTTAAGAAAATAACATACCTATAGTCCAATATTTTTAATGTGACGATAGCGTGTACATTGACTCTGGATTCACTTGGTAGTGTCATGGCAGTCTCAATAACAGAATCACTTTGGCTTGGTCCATCATCTGGCAAGAGAAAAGTTATGTGAATCCAATATACATATTATAAAGTCATTTACAAATTCTTGGAAATATACAAAAATGGAATACATGATTTCTATATGTTACTGGTAAGAATGCCTTTAGTCATATATTTTATTTCTAATAACTCAAATCTAGGTCTAGAATTTAATATTTAATTAACAGAAAATAGATAAAATTACTACAATATGGCTTTAAAATCTTTTAATAAATCCTACCAAGAAAATTTAGGAGTAGAAAAGAACCTTCAAAGAACAACTACAATCTCTCAGCAGAAACAATGACACTAAACCTTCCTGTTAAGAAAAATATTATGGTCTATTAGAGGGATTTTATTAACAAAGGAAAAATATTACTTCCCACAAATGTCTACAAAATAGGTACATACTGATCTTCTAAGTTAGGACATATGGCAACTAATTATCTTTGATCACTTGAAACTGAGGGATTTACATAATCAGGTAAGCTTTTGGTACATTATTTATGTTAAGAGGGTTTTTTTCAGCAAATGCAAGACTTTATTTTCAATAGGTATTTCCTAACATACATACCTACTCACACAATTAACCCTCTTACTAGTTTCCAAAGACTGTTTAACACTGCCATTATATGGTATAAAGAACAAAGCAACTCATACACATCAAAAAGAAATGGCTTTGTGACTTTTTGGCAAAAGAGACTTCAAACTATCTAGACATAAGTAAAAAAAAAAAAAAAAAAAACTATTAATTTTCAACAATGTGAAGAAAATTAAATAGTCCTAGCATTCATCATATGTTAAGAGCATAAGGCATACCAAAAGAACATAAAACAGTTAGTAATATCTCTGATCTTGCTTCAGCCCAGTAGGCATTTAATGAACATTTGTTGAATACTATGAAGTATATTTCTCTTGCATGGAGCTCATCAATTATTCAATAATCAATAATCATTAAGCTAGTAGTTCTAATGCAAATATCATATGGATATTTTGTTCACAGAAAGAGCAGAGAATAAAAGACAGTATCAAATAGAAATAAAAGACATCAAGATATTTATTAGTATTAAGCAAATGCTTTAGTATTTAGAAGTACACTAGCATTTTGGTTACATCATTTTAAAGAGATGCAATATATATTGCCAAATTACATCAGCAGATAGCAACATTAAACCAGCAACAAAACCCAGCTTTAGTTTTTAAATATATGTGTAGACTAGCATGACAACATATTGACATAGAGTATTCGCACCACTTTCCAAAGAGCCACTTTTAATAATCAGCATCAAGAATATAAACAGGAAGTCCATTATCCATTGGGAGGGGACTATGCAAGAGACAGATTTTCTTTTCATTATATATCCTTGTATATTGGTTGAATTTTTTTTCCATGTACATTTACTGACTTTTTAATTAAAAAATACAAGTTGGCAATATTCCCTAAATTGATCTACAGATTCAATGTAAGCTGTATCAGAATCCTAGCTGACTTTTTGTAGAAATCAACAAACTGATTCTAAAATTCATGTGGGATTGCAAGAAACACAAAATAGCTAAAACAAGACTGAGAAAAAAGAATACAGGATTTACCCTTCCCAGTTTCAAAACTTACTATAAATCAATGGTAATCAAGAGACTGTAGTACTGGCACAGGATAGACATACAGATCAATGGAATAAAAATTGAGAGTCCAGAATGAACCTTGTATTTCTGGTCAACTGATTTTCAACAAAAATGACAAAACTATTCAGTGAGAAAAGAATAGCATTTTCAACAAATGGTGCAAGGAAACTGGACAGCCACATGCAGAATTAAATTGGATCTTTATCTCACAGCATATATAAAAAACAACTTAAAATTAACCAAGTACTTAAAAATAAGAGCAAAAGTATAAAACTCAGAAGAAAATATAGAAAACAATTTTCATAAAATAGGTTTTTGCAAGGGATTTTTAGACATGAAGCCAAAAGCATAAGCAAAAAAGAAAAGGAAAAAAATAAATTGACCTCATCAAAATTAAAAGATAAAAAAAAACCTTTTGTATTTCAAAGGACACCACCAAGTAATGAAAAATCAAACCCACAAAATACTAGAAAATATTTACAAATCATGTATCTGACAAGATAATTCTTTTTTTTATTAATTACTTTTATTAACATATAAAACTCAACACGGAAAACACAGGGGTACAGGTCTGTGAATTGTCAGACTTACACATTTCACAGCACTCACCATATCACATACCCTCCTCAATGTCCATAACCCTGTCACCCTCTCCCTACCGCTGCCACAGCAACCTTCAGTTTGTTTTGTGAGATTAGGAGTTTCTTATGGTTTGTCTCCCTCCTGATCCCATCTTCTGATAAGACATTTCTATCCGGAATACATAAAGAATTACTATAACTCAATAATAAAAAGATTAAAAAAAATAAATATTGGGCAAAGGATGTCTCATGAACACATATGCAAAATTCCTTAATACTAGCAAGTTGAATATTAAAAAGTATTTAAAAATTATACACTGGTGACTAAGTGGGATTTAACCCAGGTATATAAGTCTAGTTCAGCATTCAAAAATCAATCATGTAATGCTTCACAACAGGATAAAAAAAGAAAAGTATATTATCATATCAATAGATGCATAAAAAACATCTGACAAACACCAACATTCCTTTATGATTAAAAACGCTCAGCAAACTAGGAATAGAGGAGTTCTTTCTCAACTTAATAAAAGGTATCTACAAAAAACATACAATTCACATCATACTTAATAGTAAGAAACTTGAAGCTTTCCACCTAAGATTAGGCACAAAGTAAGGACGCCTCCTCTTACCATTCTTTCTGAACATCATACTGAAATGTCCTTGCTAATGCAATACAGTATGGAAATGAAATAAAAAGTATATAAATTGGGAAGGAGGACAAAAAATAGTCTTTGTTCACAGATGACATGACCATAGGTAGAAAATCGAAAAGATGTGACAAGAAAAACCTCCCGAAACTAGTAAGTGATTATGTAAGGTTGCAGGATACGAGGTCAATATATAAAAATAAATTGCTTTCCGGGGCACCTGGGTAGCTCAGTGGTTAAGTGTCTTCTGCCTTTGGCTCAGGTCATGATCCCAGGGTCCTGGGATTGACCCCTGCATTGGGCTCCCTGCTCAGCAGAAAGCCTGCTTCTCCCTCTCCCACTCCCTCTGCTTGTGTTCCCTCTCTCTCTCTGTGTGTCTCTGTCAAATAAATAAATAAAATCTTTTAAAAACAAATAAATAAATTGCTTTCCTTTCTATCAATAATAAGTAGAACCTGAAATTAAAAACACAATACTAATTACATTAGTATCCCCCCAAATGAAATACTTACATATAAATATGACAAAATATGTATAAAAACTCTATGAGGAAAGTTACAAAACTCTGATGAATCAATCAAAGCACTACATAAATGGAGAGACAGTATTCGTGGATAAGAGGTCTCAATGTTGTGAAGATGTCCCTTCTTTCCTACTTAATCTATAAATTCAATGCAATCCCAGTCAAAATCCCAGCAAATTATTTTGTGGATGGTGACAAACTGATTCTAAAATTTACATAAAGCAGCAAAAGACTCAAAATAGCCAACACAATATTGGTTAGAGAACAAAGTTGGAAGACTGACACTATCCAACTTAAAGACTTACTATAAAGCTACTGAAATTGAGACAGTGTGAAATTGCCAAAAGAATAAACAGATCAACAGAACAGAACAGAGAGCCCATAAATAGACCTCCATAAATACAGTCAACTCATTTTTAACAAAGGAACAAAGGCAATAATACAATGGAGTAAAGATGGTCTCTTCCATAAATGGTGCTGAAACATCAGGAAATCCACATGCAAAAAAGAATAGATTTATTCATAATTGCCAAAACTTGGAAGCAACCAACATTTGCTTTAGTAGGGTGAATAAATAAACTATAGTACATCCAGACAATAGGTTATTCAGTGCTAAAGAAAAATGAACTATCAAGCCATGAAAAGCACGGAGGACACTTAAGTGAATACTACAAAGGGAAAGAAGTCAATCTGAAAGATTCCAATTACATGATGTTCTGGAAAAGGAAAAACTACAGAAACAAGAAAAAGATTAATGGTTGCCAGATAGGTGGTGATAGAGGAGATAAGAGGATAAATAGGCAGATCACAGAAGATTTTTAGGGCAGTAAAAATACTCTGTATGATACTACAATGGGGAATACGTATCAGTTGTCCAAATCCATAGACTATACTACAAGAGTGAACTCCAAGGTTAACTATGGACTATGATTACAATGTGTCGATGTAGGTTCATCTTTGGTTAAAGAATGTACCATTCAGATAAATGATGTTGATAAATGAGAGAGGCTATGCATGTGTGGGGGCCAAGGATATATGGGAAATATCTGTACCTTCCTCTCAATTTCATTGTAAACCTAAAACTACTCTGAAAAAATTAAGTCTTTAAAAATTTTTTTGATTATTCTGATATGACTTCTAACTGATTCATATCAGAATAATTAAATTTTTCTGGAGGAGAAAGCATATCTAGAAAAGAAAGGGAACTCCTTGATTGGCAGGAAATAAGAGTCTTAGAAAATTATGTTACTTGATTTGAAGGTCAAGGTGGAAAATGAAAATTGCTGAAATATATAATTATCTTATTCATGTAACATACACTGATTGGCAATACAGTGCTAGGTTAGGCTGTGCATAACCAACAAAGTCATGAGCTAAATTAACAGTTGCAGTATTTAGCCACTAAGTTGTAGAGTGTTTGTTATGCAGCAATACACTAGTATAGCTCACTTTTCTTTAATACTCTAGTGTATCCTACAATGATATGCATAAAATAAAAATTGGGATATAGTACAATTTTAGTGAAGCATTAAAAATTAAATGTATATAGGATGACTGGGTGGCTCAGTCAGTTAAGCATATGCCTTAAGCTCAGGTCATGATCCCAGGGTCTTGGGATCAAGTCCTACATAGGGCTCCTTGCTCAGAGAGGAGCTTTCTGCTCCCTCTGCTTGAGCTCTGTCTCTCTCTCTGTCTCAGATAAAAATAAAATCTTTAAAAATAAATAAATAAATAGATAGATAAATAAAAATTAAATGTATAGTATCATTTTCTCTTTTGGTACACATTCATGCTAAATTAATATACCCTGGAAAATGTGTTTTATCTTTATACTTGTTAGAATTTAGCAAAACTATGCATGAAGCAAATATTCAAGTAACTATTTTTTTTAAAAGATTTTATTTATTTATTTGACAGACAGAGATCACAAGTAGGCAAAGAGGCAGGCAGAGAGAGAGGGAAGCAGGCTCCCTGCTGAGCAGAGAGCCCAATGCGGGGCTCGATCCCAGGACCCTGAGATCATGACCAGAGCCGAAGGCAGAGGCTTAACCCACTGAGCCACCTAGGCACCCCTCAAGTAACTATTAATATACTTCCTAGTCAATAGCATTCATATACTGTATTATAAAAGTCAAGTTTTTTGCTCTTTTTTCAAAGTTAAAGCACTAGGATGCTTATTGAATCTTTGTTTTATTTTCCAATTGATACACTGTAACAAATCAAAGAAATTAAGGATAAATCATTATTATTGTGAATTTAAGGATATGTTTATAACTCCAGCGTATTTATGACCAATATGGATTCATCATTAGAACCACACCTGCCAGGGACCATTTCCTCTAATTATTTACACCCAAAATACATGTAAATTTATGTACTGTTAGCACTTCGCTGCCTTTCATATTATCCTTCAAAATAGAGGAAAAAATAGAAAAGTACCTTTAATCTTGCTTCGCAGATATTTTAAGACTTCTTGGGTTCCTTTCTGAAAAGGTAGAGAGAAGACACATGTTCACTTTGCAGTTTCAGAGGCCAACAGGCATATTTGAATTTCAAATTTAAAAACCAGAACTGAATTCCAAATATGCTTACATTTATAATTTCTCTTCGTATGGTTCTCAAAGGATTTCCTTCTAGTGCCAGAAATTTCAAATGAAGTTTTCCCAATGAACAGGGTAAACTACAAAAAGATTAAATCAATTTCAGGGAAAACATGAAGAGTAAGTATAATTCAACCAATAGTTGACTCTAAAACAACAACATATAAGAAACTATATATCCTATAATAGTGTCAAAGAGAGCTCAAGTAACATAGGTCTAAAATATCTCCCCTTGAAATAAATGCTGAACACGTAAGAGAAAAAACAGATTTGTTCTGAAATTGTCATATTGTGACTGCTTAAAAAAAAAAGGTGAGCTACAAAAAACATTTGCTAAAAAATTGTAAAAAGTAAATTTGAATGAATCAGTGATTCAAGACAGCCATATACTCAAGGATACTAAATGTTTTAATTTCATCCTTCAAGTAAGCAAATGAAATTCTTCCCTAATAATCTAATATTATTTCCCATGTACAAAAGCACTCCTATCCCACAAACATTGTGATCAATGCACAATACCAATTTATTTTTTAATGACATTATAATCAAATTGCTTCTGTTCTTAATCTTTCAGGAGCTTCCCATCTCTTAAAGAATGAAAACTTACTCTTCACAGGCATTTTAAGGTCCTTTTCTATACGGCCTCAATTTACCTTTCAAGCCCTAAATCCAGTTCTGAACTTTCAAGGTTTTCTTTGTGCAGTTTTGTCCCACCAAGTAAATCATTCTGACCACCATACATACACACTTTAAAATCATGGTCATCCTCTAAATATGGTGGGACTAGAGTGAGGCATGACCCTGAAGGCGAAGGTGCTCTTAAATTCTGTGCTCTCGGCACTTAACTTGCCTCATCCTAGTCCCAGTCCTAATGATCATCCAAAAACATTTTCTCTTCCACAAAATTTGCCCTGATCCTCTCAATAAATTGCTGATACCTATATTTCCTTTACGCCCTCAAAGCATTTTCTATCTCTCCCATGGCTTTACATTCATTTAATTCAACAAATATTTATCAGGTACCCTTTATATACACAGACACTGATCTAGAAGTTAGAGATAGACAAGTGAACGAAACAGGTAAAAAGCCTGACTTCCTAGTTTATGCTCTAAATAGATTAGAGTAACCTGTAAATAGATCTGATTCTATTAGTATTTTAAGCTTGTTGCCAAGGACCAACTCTAACCATTCTTTTTAAGTCTGCATATGATACTTGTTCAATAAATGTTTAGTGAATTCAATTGAGAAAAAAGATCTCTACGTGTTTTTTACAAATCTTAAATAACTTATTAACTTATGAATTATAAACAAATGCAGGTATGATTTTTTATTCCTTTGATCTTTAAACTTACCTACTAATATCATTGTTGCTTAGGTCAAGTCTCTCCAAAGACTGTAGCAGTGTAATCTCATCTGGAACAGATTTTAACTTATTATCCCGCAGGTCTAGCACAAGGATAGAATTCAGATGCTTAAGATGTTCTGGCCCTAATATTTCAATCTGGTTTTCACCTACATGTAATTCCTACAAAACCAAAGATGACTCATTATGTATTTCTGTATTCAATAGATAATAAAAATAAAATTGAAGTCTTAATTTCAAATCACTGAAAAATACATGGAAAAAACCTAAGTTTCTATTACTAACATGCTTAAGTTTTCAATTACAAGTAAGCTAATTCAAAGTTAAAAATCATAAAAACAGAACATTTTCAAGGATTTTCTGATAATTTAAAAAACAATTAAAGATTTAATCTGGCAGAAAGTTCCAAGTTTACAAACCAAAGCACAGAAATGATTTAGTAGTTACATTTACAGAATAATAAAAACACAAATGCAAGAACCATGCTGATAAAAAATTTAAAGTTTTAAAATAAGTCGGAATGAGCATAAAAAGTTACAATCAGTTTGTTGTTATTCAACATTTTCATTAGTGGTTATTTTTTTAAAGATTTCTTTGTTTACTTTAGAGAAAGAGAGAGAGAGAGAGAGAGAGCGCGCGCAAGTGAGCAGGTCAGAGGCAGAGGGAACGGGAGAAAGAATCTCCAGCAGACTCCATGCTCAGCAGGGAGCCTGACACAGGGCTCCATCTCACAACCCTGAGATCATGACCTGAGCAGAAACCAAGGGTCAGACACTTAACAAACTGAGCTACACAGGTGCCCCTCATTAGTGATATTTAAATATAGTGATATCCCACTAATGGAATCTATAATTATCAGATGTATAACTAATCTTTAATTAAATCACTTTTTCAGTTCCTTTTATCATTGCCACCATTCTGTTTGAGAAGCCCTTTTAACTCTAATACATAAAGTATACATGAAGGAAAACAAAACATGTTAAATTTAGAAGACAATGCTATATACTTAAAACCAAAAGAAAGTAATTAATTTTAAACAGACCCAATAATGATCAGGTAAACATAAAAGGTGGCAACTTAAACAGAGTTAGATATAAATTCCTTCCTAGTACTCCAGGTGTCCTACAGTATGGCTCCACCATACTATGTTAGCCTCATCATCAACTTCTCCAGTTATATACAACTCCCCAAATGAAATGGACAAATTCTTATATTTAAGTTGATTATTTCTTTAAAAAAAAAAACTACTGCTAACAATACACCATTAATGTATTTAGTCATACTAAAATTCTGAAAAATATACAAAAAACATAGCACTATAACTAATACATATTCCCAATGTAAAAATTTCATTTTCATAATTAACTTTTGGAAAATATATAGTTATTTAATAATCATCTAAATATTACCTTTAATAATCTGCAAGAAGGAAATTCTGGTAGAAAACGTAATTTATTCCTCCGCAAATAAAGCAATTCTAGTGACTCTATGTTAGCCAATTCAGGAGGTACAGTTTCTAAGAGATTTGAGTTACAATCCAAATGCTTTAATCCTATAATAAATAAGTGAAAACAAAAATTCTTTAATAAAACTATCGGTCTATAATTGTATATACATTCAAAGAACGTGTACATCATCATGAAGAATTACAAACCCATGCCACTGTATACTACTATAATAATCAAGAATCCTCAATACCACTGAATGAAATAAACATAAACTGAGATTGCTTTTATATTTAATTATAACTAAACAGATGTGACATTAAAAATGATGTTTAATAATAGTCCAAATCATCTTTGTAATGGTAAAAAACAAAATACTTCAATACTCTGTTAAGGTATTCTAAAATATACAAACTACAAACTATGAGATATTACTTCCCTCAGTAATTATGCATTTTTAAAAATATTTTATTTAGAGAGAGAGCAGGAGCAGGGGGAGGGACAGAGGGAGAGGGAGAGAGAGAATCTCAAGCAGATTCCACAGGGAGCCTGACACAGGGCTCAATCTCATAACCCTGAGATCATGACCTAAGCCAAAATCAAGAGTCAGCCACTCAACCAACTAAGCCACCCAGCAACCCAGTAATTCTACATCTTTAAAAAGAAAAAGCTCAAGGTAGTTAAAGATAGACATGGATGCATACCAGCTGTATGAATGGATGTCAAGTAATTTGCTAGTAGTAGCTTAGATACATGTATTTAAATTTGGCCAGTTGACTTTCTGTCAAAAAGCCTTGGATTTCTGGGGCACCTGGGTGGCTCAGTGGGTTAAGCCTCTGCCTTCAGCTCAGGTCGTGATCTCAGGGTCCTGGGATCAAGCCCCACGTCGGGCTCTCTGCTCAGCAGGGAGCCTGCTTCCCCCTCTCTCTCTGCCTGCTGCTCTGCCTACTTGTGATCTCTCTCTCTCTCTCTGTCAAATGAATAAAAAAAAAAAAAAAAGCCTTGGATTTCTATGTTTGTCTTCCTATTCCTCCATCTATCCATATGGCCTCTTTCTCCCTCCCTGTCTTCTTTCTTTCTTTACCTATTTTTGTTTAAATTACAGGCTTTCTCTAACATCTTAGCTAACACTATGAACAAGAATGCATACTACAGCTCAACAAGAATGTTCTTACTTGCAGAATCTCTCTTACCTCCTAGATCTTTCTTTCTTACAAAAGCATGTAAGAAAACAAAAATGGAAAGATGTAAAGGTCTTTTTCCCTTAAAAATTCAGTAAGCAGCTTTCTCCCTAATATATATCACAGATTCTTCTACTTACAGTAGCCACCATAAATTTTCCACAATTCATTCTCCACCCTTTAGTCTGAATAGGTGATATACTTTTTACAACTTTTTTGCTGTACTTTGAGCCTATTTTAACATAATGCAAGACTGGGTTGATATTGCCTTAGACTGCTTTTAATATTTAAAGAAGCTAACTGCTTTCAAAACAAATATAATAGCACTACTTTCAACAAATACTATAATAATTTATGTTTTATTTGGCTACAGCATTTTTAAAAATGTCACAGTTGGAAGTCTGGGTGGTTTAGTCAGTTAAATGTCTGCCTTCACCTTGGGTTGTGATCCTGGGTTCAAGCCCCGTATGGGCTCCCTGCTCACTGGGGAGTCTGCTTCTCTCTCTGCCTCTACTTTTCCCCTGCTTGTGCTCTCTCTCAAATAAATACAATTTTTTAAAATAACAATAAAATAAAAAAATTTAAAAAGTCACAATGTGATTCACCCAAATCCAGTAAATTCTATAAAGAAAGTTTTTAAAAGTTAGACACTAAATTTTTACAATTGTTTGCATTTAAGAGTACTGAATGAGAATATAAGCAGTGCATAGTGGAAAGAACAACAGGGATGGAGTAAAAGGATTCAAGCCCTTACAGAACTGTTGTGATTCCAGCCATGGCTCTATGATATATAACATAACTTGTAAGCCTAGGTTTATGAACCTTTGAAATGTAAAAAATACTCATTCCCCTAATTTACATTCCCCTAACATCACAACTTTGTGATGGCAAAACAATATATGTAAAAGCATTTGAGTTCCCAAGAACCATACAAACATTAGATATTGTTCTTAGGGTCCAGTCATTAATAGCGAAGTAACAACTCAATGTCCTACTGGTGATAGTTTAAAAGTCATGGCTATCACTGTCATGGCTAAAGGAAGAAAGCATCTGATCATTAATTATATAGTATATTGGAAAAACTGCTATAAATTCAAAGTATTTTCCTATTGATTTCCCTCTTTTCCCATCTCTCAAGATATGTTCATACAAATTATGAAAAAAAATTTCAAGCTTCTTACATATTAAGATAACATATTTTATGTTTAGCTCTACTTTTTACTACCTTTATTGAAAAATGGCAAATATAAGCAAAGTCTTATTTACCGGTATCCTAAGTAAAGGCTCCCCTAAAATATCAACTCGATTTATGGAAGATTTAACGTTTGCACTCCTATTACAAATGACAAATGACTACTAATCTAAAATAAAACAGCACAATTTTGCAAATTTATCTCAAAATGATCTGTAATCAACTATACAAAATCACTCCTATAACTTCCACAAGAGGGAGGTTTAAAAAAATGAAGAGGGCTTATACATGATTAGCAGAAAAGACCAGATAAAGTAAATAGTGGATAGCTGATATACAGTATGCTCATCAACCAAGAAATAATAATAGTTTGCCTTTAAACAACAACAAAAAAATGATCTTGCCCTCTAAATCAAGAATTCTGAGATAATGAATTATAATTATTTAAAAGGTACTAAAATGTGCCTTCAATTTCTTTATCCCTTAATATTAGTACTAGAATATGTTAAATACGATAGTTCAATGGTAAACTTCAATAGAACCACTATTTTAACCTTTTCTTTTTTAAAACATGATTGACCATTTGGGCAAAACTAGACTATCTCCTGGCATCATTACTTATGGACCATAAGGAAGCTACAACTATAACAAAACCACAAGTAGAATCACCAATTAGAGGGGAATAACCTCTTAGTGATTGTTGAATAAATGAAGAGATAACACAACTCAAAACCCTAATCAATATCTCCAGTATATAATTTTACCATAACTCATAATTATATTTTATTTTCCTCTTTTTGATATGCCAAAATATGCTTTTGGTAATAACTGTTTAGGAAGTTAAGCTAGACAACAATGGTCTGGAGAAAATCTTACTATTTGCTATTATTTGCTTTACCCATATAAAATCTATTATTTTACTTCCCTGTAACTAACAATATTAAAATTTATTTTTCTAAGTATAAGTTGCACCAACTTCACATTAATGTATGCTTTAAAATAGAGAAGATTTACTTTTCATTCCACTTATTTCTGCTGGCAAACTCTTCAGTTGATTGCTGGAAAGATTAAGTCGCACCAGACTGGAGAGAGAAGAAAAACTAGCAGGAACAGTTTTAAGACGATTGTTGGAAATATCCTTTAGAAAGACAATGAATCAATCAATCCATCCATCCATCAATTAATCAGTTTATTTATCAATAAATTATTTATCAATAAATCAATTTACCAATAAATTATCCATAAATAAATAAATTTATCAATAAATAAATAAATAAATAATTGATTCCTCAAAGAGATTCGAGGATTTGAGGAGATTACAACACGAAGACTATTTTAGAGGTGGTAATTTTTATAACCCTCATCCACTGACAATTTCACAAGCTGTCTGTCATTCATTACCTCAGACCATGTGCCCAGTAATGGAGCACAAAGGAATCAGAATGAATTCTAACTTCAGAAATACTTTATATAAAGGTTTCTGTTATTACTAAGTCATGCTATATCATGTATCATGTTTTTAATTAAAAAAATCTATCCATCTGGGGCGCCTGGGTGGCTCAGTGGTTAAAGCCTCTGCCTTCGGCTCAGGTCATGATCTCAGGGTCCTGGGATCGAGTCCTGCATCGGGCTCTCTGCTCAGCAGGGAGCCTGCCTCCTCCTCCTGTCTCTCTCTGCCTGCCTCTCTACCTACTTGTGATCTGTCAAATAAATTAAAAAAAAAAAAAAATCTTTAAAAAAAAAATCTGTCCATCTAATATTTATTGAGTACATAGGATAAATTAGGCAAACTGATTAGGTAAACTGTAGTATGAAATGAAAAATGCCATTGCAAGAGAAAAAAAAATCTTGAAAGAAAAAAAAAATAAGGGGCGCCTGGGTGGCTCAGTGGGTTAAGCCGCTGCCTTCGGCTCAGGTCATGATCTCAGAGTCCTGGGATCGAGCCCCGCATCGGGCTCTCTGCTCGGCAGGGAGCCTGCTTCCTCCTCTCTCTCTGCCTGCCTCTCTCCCTACTTGTGATCTCTCTGTCAAATAAATAAATAAAATCTTTAAAAAAAAAAAAAAAGAAAAAAAAATAAACCTGAGAAAATAGATGTTTTAATTTTTAAGGAAAAAAATATTCCCTCTTGGTTCTTCTGCTGACCGAGGCAAGTCTGCTTTGACTAAGTCCAGAAGTTTACTCTCCGCTTTTCCTTCATTTAAGCTTGCCTAATCAGTGTCTATACCTGTTTTTTTAAGTCATTGTTTCTGTTTCTTTCTTTAAAACATAAACACAGTTTTGAAGAGAACATTTTCTGAAACTCTGTTTAAAAGACAAATAACTCTTATGACATCTGAATTAGGGGGAAGTACTCCACTAGCTATCAGCAAACTGTTAGGTAGGGCCAGTTGTAATAATGAATTTTAAAAAAATGACTTAAGGGAACTTGTTCTCTGAAGACTCATTTAGCCTAACATTAAACAGTTGCCTTCTCTAACTCTAAGTCAATTAAGAAGACAGAAAAAGATAAAAACTCTAGATCAGCTATTCTTTATAAAACAGGGCTACAATTATAAATAACACAAAATAACATATCATAATCAACAACAGGAAACAACAATCTACAACTCCAATACTCTAAACACTAAGAATGAACAGATTACTACTGAATAAATATTTTGTAATATCAAAAATTACTGACACTAAATGCAATGTAGTATTCTGGATTGGATCCTGGAGCAAAAAAAAAGGACATTAGTGGAAAAGCTGGGAAAATCTTAATAAAATCTATACTGCAGTTAGTAATACTGTACCAATGTTAATTTCTTAGTTTTTCAAATGTCCCATGGGTATGTAAAATATCAAATTAAGAAAAGCTAGGTGAAGAGTATACAGTAACTATAATCTCTTAACATTTTTGCAAATCTAGAATTATTTCAAAATAAAAAACTTTAAAAAGTTTTGATACAGAAAAGATATTAATTCACAAATTCTTAAGATCTTTTAGAGAACCCCAATCAACAAAATTACTAATAAAGTTAAACATTTAATTATCGTGGCTAATAATTAAATTAATAATTAAATATAAGTACATTTTACATAAATTAATCAGCATTTATGCTGTCATTTCTTCAATAAATATTTAGTATCATTGCTAAGCAGTTTTTATATAACTTTTAGGAAAATTACTAGCTTAAATTATTAAACATGCTTATATTTCTAATGTTGTGATGTACTTTTGCTTACATTTATGATTGGATACTGAGTCCCTAAGAACACAATTTTCAACTGAACTATCCTTTCATTATGCAAATGACTATCTAGGAACCCATGAAAAGGAAACAACTGAGAACTGCTATAGTTTCTTAGATCTTCTTTCTAATCTAAACACTCTTCTTTTTTTTAATATACCAATTGCTATCTTTTACCATTAGACTTTATAAGAAAATCTGATGGCCCTTTCCTTAGCCACTCATCTTATCTACGTATGTCTTTAACTTTCCAAACCTTATTTCCAATCTGATCACATTGAAAGACAAAGACAGATACTAAAGAACAGTTAAGGAAAGTTACATATGTTGATTTCAAACACTAGAACGGATGAAGGAAATATCAAGAAAGATGTATTTATAGGGAAAAAAAAGAGGTAAAAGAATTAATTTCCCCTTTAATGAGAAATAAACTTGGACTAAAGTGACATAAGTTTCTGAAAACATGTAATAGGGAAAACAATAAGAATGCAAGAGGAAATAACTATGTGCAGTATAGATTATATATTAGAACAACTAATCTAATCTAGCTAGTCTTTCAGATCGAGTATTTTAGTGGAATCTTACTCCTTCAGGGGTATAGTAGGAGAAAAAAAGGGATACACTTTGGAGTCAAACTGACTTATGTTAAAATCCTGAATTCATTACCTATTAGTTACATGGCTTCAGATAAGGTACTTTTTTTTTTTTTTAAATAAACTGTAGTTCCATATCTGAATTAGGGGATAAAACTATGTACCATGCTATATGTAAAGTACAAAGCAAAGTGCTTATTATTTTCATTACTCTTAAAATAAAATCTGTTTTGGGCTGCCTGGGTGGCTCAGTGGGTTAAGTCTCTGCCTTCGGCTTAGGTCATGAACTCAGGGTCCTGGGATCAAGCCCCGCATCTGGCTCTCTGCTCAGCGGGGAGCCTGCTTCCTCCTCTCCCTCTACGTGCTGTGCTGTCTACTTGTGATCTCTCTCTCTGTCACATAAATAAATAAAATCTTTTAAAAAAATAGTAATATGTGTTTCGCTTTATGGTTATCTCCATTCAGGATGTGACATAGATGGAATGAAAATTTGCAAGGTAAGGTGGACATTTTGAAAAATAGGGAAGAAAAGGCAGGCCTTAAAGGGACTGTTTGGACATTCAAAGGACAGGATGGTTATAGGGACAATAAAGAAGGAACGGGTATAGAAATGGGAATTCGTACGCTAAAGACACATTTCCCCTATTTTGCAAAGCCATAAAATCCACTGAATAACAGCCATTCCTTATCACCCCCTTCCCATACTCTATTCTTTATTAAAACCTAACGTGATTTTATAAGAAAAAATAGGAAAAACAAATTTAACAATTACTAATTTAGCAATCTTATTGAAATGCAGTTTCTGAGAATCTAGTCATATAACCAGTTGTCCATGTTTTTCATGATTTCAATCATACATCCAATTTCTCAGCCTGATGAAAAATCACATCAGCCCCAAATTATATAAAAATTGGAAAATCACAACTTACCAAATCTTCTAAATTGAAAAGTTGTTCAAATCCCTCTGGTATGCAAGTTAGTTCATTATGCTGGAGATATAGACCTTTCAGGTTTCTTAGCTTTGTAATTTCTTCAGGTAGTATTTGCAGTTTGTTATGGCTATTGATTGATAAAATAAATGCTAAGTAATTTGGTAATAACATAATAAATATATGTAAAGGTATTTTTGCTAACCAACTACATGGGCTCATTTATAAAAATGAAATATGGTTACTAGTTCTAAAAACTTATCAAACTTCACATACAACTCATTAAGATTATAGTCATCTAAAGTAATCAAATTGAGAGTTTCAAAGAAAATAAAAGAACAAAGGTTTTTAACCAAATCATAAATTTTAATTTTTCATACTGTATCTGAATTTTATTTTATTTTACTTTAAAGATTTTATTTATTTGAGAGAAAGAGAGAGAGAGTGCTCATGAGAGCACAAGTTGGGGAAGGGGCAGAGGGAAAGGAGAAGCAGGCTCACCACTGAGCAGGGAGCCCAAAGCAGGGCTCGATCCCAGGACCCCGAGATCATCATGTAAGCCTAAGACACTTAACCAACTAAGCTACCCAAACGCCCCTGTATCTGAATTTTAGGATTCTGACACAGATATGGGCACATATACATTACAGTGGAGTTAACAGCTTCTATGGGATTATGTTTTTAAGCTAGCACTCGAGACAAAAATAGCTATTTCTGTTAAAGGGCCTGGTATGTCCAGCTAAATATAATATGCAACTCCACTCTTCTTTGTACTTAGTCTTAATTTTTCAGCTCAGTCTTTCTGTAGAGATACTCAGTTTATTGTTTTAGAAGTCCCAAGTCACTGAAGATGATACATTCCCTAATAATTAAGAGATGACCTGATTTAATTTGTTCCCAGATTTATCTCAACTATTCACTTAGGAATTCCATTCTATTTTCATGCCATCTACAATTACTTAACAAATAACAGGGTGGAATAAGAAATATAATGGGGTAAAAATAACCTTAAATTACATAAAAATAAAACTAACTAAAACAAAAATACCAGAAGATGTCATCTAAAATAAATAAAAAACACTAGGGGAACCTGGGTGTCTCAATGGGTTAAGCCTCTGCCTTCAGCTTAGGTCATGATCTCAGGTCCTGGGATCAAGCCCCGCATCAGGCTCTCTGCTCAGCAGGGAGCCTGCTTCCCCCCCACCCTGCCTGCCTCTGCCTGCTTGTGATCTCTCTCTCTCTGTCAAATAAATAAATAAAAAACACTAAAAAAAATGTCAAAAATTGGTTATTATTGTTGGTCACTTAATTGAAATCTTTGTAGATTTCACAGGGATGTAGTTGGACAGAGATGTAATCCTAGCTACATATTTCCTCCATTTCTTTCCCAACTATTTCCTCCACCCTAACACTTAATAGTCTGAAGTGCTGGAAGCTAAAGCTAAAGCCATACCTAATCCATACTTCCTCACATATTCTCTCAACCCTACCCATTCTTGCCTTTGCAGGTCTCACCCATGCCTTGGACTTGTATGGAGAAAAGGTTCTGATGTAGCTCTAAACGATTAGCACCTTTGATGTATAGATATTTTTGCTAATTTGTGGTTATTTTTTCAATAGATGAAGACTCTAACTAAAGGAAATGTTCTCCCTCAAAGCAACTGACTTAATCACAGAACACTGAGATAGATCTGTAACCATACCAATTTTATAAACCAGTTTTTCAAAACATGTTTTGAACACTTAATAAACCTTTTTATCTCCTAAATGAAATCTTCCCAAATCCCCTTCCCCTAATCTGTATATATAAAATATATCTAAGGTATTTATTATTTCTTGGAAGTCTAGGTGTGTATTGAAGGGCAAACAAAGTTAGCCAGAGTCTTAGCCACCTGGCTTCCAAAACACCTATCAACAAGTACCGGAAGCATATCTGTAGAACTCCAGGAATCCTCAGAAAAGTTTAAAAGCTACTAATACTAAAACCATGACATTTTTCATCATTAATGAAAGAATTATTTCCAATTTTTTCTTATTGCTTAACCGAGATGTTTTTTAAAATATCAAAGTAACTTAAAACCTGAGATATCAATAAAAGGTTACTAAAATAACCAGTAAAAATTGTTACATAAAAATAAAACAAAAAGAGGATACCTGGGTGGTTCAGTTAGTTAAGCATCAGCCTTTGCCTCAGGGATTCATCCCGGGGTCCTGGTATTGAGCCCCAGGTCCTCAGGAGCCCTGCTCAACTGGGAGTCTGCCTGTCCCTCTCTCTCTGGCCCCTGCCCACTCATGCTTTCTCTCTCACACTCTTTCTCTCAAATAAATAAATAAAATCTTTTTAAAAATTGAATAAATAAATAAAACAAAAAGGACTTAAAAAATCAACTGGCTTTACATTTGTAAAATCAGAAAAACATGCAGGCAATTCTAAAACAAAAATAAACAAAAAAATCTGAGAAAATTGAAATTTCTTAGTGGCGTGCCTGGGTGGCTCAGTTGGTTAAGCATCTGCCTTTGGCTCAGGTCATGATCCCAGTGTCCTGGGATCATGTCCCACGTCAAGGTCCCGGCTCAATGGGGATTATGTTTCCCCCCTCCACCCCTCTCCCCTGCTCTCTATCTCACTCTTTCTCTCAAATAAATACATAAAATCTTTAAAAAAAAAACAAACAAAATTCTTACACTGTTTTTACCACTTTCTGAGATAATACAAAAATATTTTCTAGTATTAGAAAAAATTTTAAAGGATATTAGATTTACACCCTTATATTAGCAATACTGAAATTAAATAAGCTTAAATTTTACCTGACATTAAGTTTCTGAAGATTTTCTAACTCTCTTATAGCAGAAGGAAGGGATGTCAGCTGGTTATCATGTATCTAAAATGTATTAAAAAAAAGTCAATTAGCTTAGTCTTATAATTAACCACATATGAGTTTGCCATTGTACAAAGTTTTTCAACAATAATTCTGTTATTCTAATTCAATAGCATAGTTGGAGTATTAATTTGTTCTATGTACAGAAGAAGAAAAGGAATTTGAAGTTGACTAAGCTCCTGTTCAAAAATCATGAAATGGTAAATCATCAATTTTAGATATTACAATTAAAATCACTGAGCGGAATCTCAGTCTCACATGAGAAATGAGAGGGTTAGAAACAATTAGCACTTGATGGTATGATTCATGTCAACATATACAAAAAAAAAAAAAAAACAAGAAAGAGGAGGGGGAATCTCTATCATGTTCTCATATTATTTTCAAGATACAAGGAAACTTAGAGAACATCTAAGCCAATCCATGCATTTTGTAAATGAGGAAAATAAAATCTTCTCTAGAAATTTGACCAGATCTAACACTTTCTGACATAAATTGGAAGATTTCTGATGTTCCTAAGTAAAGTACATCCAAACTCCAGAGACTGTGAAATAAACTACTCATGCTTTACCGTATGACATGGCAATGAGACTAAAAAACTGCCCCTGAATAAACACACAAAAAGTTAAGTTCAATAATTTAAGTCAGTATTGAAGTTTAAAAAAAAAAAGTAATTTCAAGTACTGCTTTAATGTCCAGAATAATGAAGAGAAAAATAATAGCAATTTAAAAAAAAAGATGAGCAACAGCAACCACTTGTTAAATATGGATTCTGTTTGCATGTAATAATGCATTAAATTCTAATAACAATTTTTAAAAATAAGTAGTGTCAGTCCCAGTTTATAGATGTGGAAACTGAGGTAGAATGAAGTAACTTTCCCAAGGTCACACAGCTATCAAGTGATAGTCAGAATTGGAAACCTGATGTTCTATAAGTGCACTCTTAACCATTAGGCTATGTCTATCAGTAATTTATTCTTCCTTGCATGCTACCAATTAAACACGTTTTCTGCTTATCAAAGGCTAAATTTACCTTCAGAGTCTCTTTAACTAATGACCCATATTTGTATCCGTCAACTTACATCAAGAACAGTGAGTGCAGGCAGGAGTCGTAGGTCATCTGTAAGTGACTGAAGTTTATTGTTGGATATGATTAGTTTGGTCAAATCCGTCTGCTCCCACCATCGCTCAGTAGTACTGAATGAAAGATTCTGATTAGCTTCCTCAGGAATATCTACATTTATTCTCCAGACACACTGAGGTACTATTTCCATCACCACCACACCAAGAAAGAAAAGAAATGAGATACTAAGTGACATACTTCTATAATAGCCATTCAGTTTATCTATCGAAAAGCATTTTCTGAAACAGTAAAACTTTTTAAAAATTCAAAAAGCAATAATTTACATCCGAAGTTGATTTTATTCAAAAACAGAGTATGTATTTTATATATTAAATCTTACTTTTTTGGGAAGATTTTATTTATTTGTCAGAGAGATAGAAAGAGCACAAGAAGGGCAAGGGGCAGGCAGAGGGAGAAGGAAAAGCAGGATCCCTGCTGAGCAAGAAGCCCAATGTGGGACTTGATCCCAGGACCCTGAGATCACAACCTGAGTCAAAAGCAGATGTTTAACCATCTGAGCCACCCAGGTGTCCCTTACTTTTATTTTCATTCAGCTATATTTACTATACACATACTCTTCATAGTACATTGTAGTAGATATATAAGACAATAAGGAAGAGACTGTACCATTATGCTAACACAATAAAAGTATGAAAATCAACATTTATAAGATCATGTTAAGTTTTACAACAGGAGTATACAGTGTCTGAGAAAGCACTGGTAATAGTAATAGCTAATAAGTAAGAGGTAATTTTCTAACATACTCATTTAAACTTCATAATATTTCTGTGACATAGATGCTATTACTATTCTCATTTTATAGACAAGAAAAATGGGGCACAGAATTTACCCAGGGCTATACAGCTAGTAGGCAGCAGAAATGGGATTCAAACACCTGCATAGCTATATTGCCTTGACTCTCAGTAGACATCTGGAAGGCATAACTAATTCTGGTAGCTGCTATTTTACCTAACATACAATTTTATTTCTTACTCCATCACACAACATCATGTGAATTCTACTGCAGCAAACACAGTAACTTCTTAAACATAGCAAATAAGACCATATATGTTGAACAGGGAGAGTCCAAGTTCACCACTAAAAAATTTGAAACTCCAGAAGGTATTAACTTGCTATAGTGTTACACCAAAACTATTTTAAAGTCCTTCACTCCAGGGCACCTGGTGGGCTCAGTCGCCTCTGTCTTCAGCTCAGGTCATGATCCCTGAGTACTGGGACTGAGCCCCACATCAGGCTCTCTGCTCAGTGGGGAGCCTGCTTCCCCCTCTCCCTCTGCCTGCTCCTACCCAGCCCCACTTGTGCTCTCTCTCTCTCACTCTCTCAAATAAATAAAATTTAAAAAAAAAAGGGGGGAGTCCTTCATTCCTTCATAAAAGTAGGACTATACAGTAGTATGATTAGAACTTTCATCAAGGCAACAATTGATTATAACCTGCAGTCACTGACGAAGATTTCAGAATGAGACTAAATGTTGTCTAAATGAGACTAAAGGTGTTGTCAAAGTTTGAAGTTCAGGACACTGAAGTATAATTCAGGATTACTAATCTGATATAATGGTTTTATAGAAGCAAAGCAGAGTTTCTGAAATCCAGGAGACTTATGCGCCTTCAAAAAAATGGGGTGTCTATATTCATATTAGAATGAATGAAAAGATCCCTCTCCTACCCCTTCTCTCTGGTTAGGTAGTCACTTTATACTTCTACAAATGAATCCAGCTACTATGAATATTATAGAATATAAGCCCATTTATTTTTCTGTTTGTGGATTGTGGTTTATTTTTAAAGCAAAGCAAAATAAAAAGAATTCACTCTCCCCAACTTTTTCGAGAGCAAAAGCACCATAAAATGTGCCACTGTTACTAGTATTACTATTACTACTGCTACCATTATTATTATTATTTTGGTATATAGGTATAGATGGTTGAGTAAGAATAAGAAATGACAAATCAACTCAGATTAGAATGTGAACTTATTGACACCAAACGAGTCCATATAAATGGGGATGTTCATGTATTTGACTAAATATCAGTGTTACTCTTGAGAAAAATTTTTTTATAAGTTACCAATGAGCCATCTAGGTTTAGTTACCAACAAACATTTCCAGAATAAAAAAAGAGGCAAGACAAAACAATACAAAACACACACAAAAAGGCAGAAGAAACTATATGATATGTACAACTCTACTCCTAAGAAAATATATAGAGCATTTGTGCATCTATTTTTCTCTGATACTTATATAGAGGTACATTAAGATGATTATAATTAATAAGCAATGTAATAACAAATTTTGGTGGGGATGAAGGCAAGGAGCACAAGAAATTTACAGACAACATAATGAAAATATCTGTTACCCATCAACTACACTAAATAAATGTTACAATGTTATCATTATTTCAGATTTTTCTGTTAGCAAAATTTGTCCTTGTGGGAACTATCAAGGTATGGATAACTGTTGATACTACAGTGTTACTGAACATGTATCAATTTGCTTTTCCAGAAATACTTTTCCCCATTACTGTTTGTGAGGTATCCCAATTTCTTCAAGAGCTTAGAGCATCAAGATTTATGTCACTTTTCTTCTCCTACCCAAAAACAGAAAGAACCACTAAAAGTTACAAAAAGTCCTAATTATAGAGGAATTCTTTAGAGTTATCCTAAAATAGCTTACCAATGCATAAAACAGATACTATCAGGTAAAGATAAATGTCAATAGGCATGTAAATGTGACAAAAATTATGATATAGTCAGGTTGTTTATTTATTTATTTATTTATTTGGCTCCACATCCGGCGTAGAGGCCAACATAGGGCTTGAACTTACAATCCTGAGATCAAGACCTGAGATCGAAATTTGGACACTTAACCAACTGAGCCACCCAAGTGTTCTTCATTTACTTTATGTAATATTTAAAGTATTATATAAAAAGACAAATATATACATAAATTTAAAGAACAGTATAATGAAGTACACTCCATTATCCACCACCCACCTATAACAATTATCAACTCCAGTCTTGCTTCATAAATAAACTCATTTTATAATGATATAAGCTACAGTCACAAACTAGAAAAAGAAAAAATTAAACACAAAGCAAACAAAAGCAAAGAAATAAAGAAGGGAAATCAATGAAACAGAATAGATAAAAAGCAATTAAACCAATACCTGGTTCTTTGAAAATTGAAATATCACCTTAGATCCTACAGATGTTAAAAGGAAGAGACTATTATAAACAACTTCACATCTATAAACTCAATAGATTAAATAAAATGAACAAATTCCCTGAAATGGGGGGAAAATCCACAACAATATGAAATCTGAGTAGCATTGCATCTATTAAAGAAATTGAATTTGCTATTTTAAATATTCCCATTTAAATATTTAAAACATACTTAAAACAAAGAAAACTCCAGGACCAGATGGCTTCACTGGTGAATTCTAACAGACATTTGGAGTAGAAATGATACTAATTCTACATAGACTCTTTCAGAAAATGGAGGAAAGAACAATCTCTATCTCATTTTATAAAGCCAGCATTACCATGATACCAAAACCAAAGACATTAAAAGAAAAAGAAAAAAGAAAGAAGAAGAAAAAAGCTACAAGCCAAACTCCCTAATGCTTATAGACCCAAAATTCCTTAACAAATTACCTACATATAAAAAATACATCACAACCAAGTGGTAATTACATCAAGAATGCAGGAGTGTTTTAACGTCTAAAGATCAATGAGATCTGTCATATTAACAGAAAAAAGATACCAATGATTCTCAAGAAATGCAAAAAACAAAAAAAATCTGACAAGATTAAAAACTCTCAAAAAACTAAGTATTGAAGGGAATTCTTTTGACCTAATAGCAGGTTTCTATGAAAAGGCTACAACTAACATCATACATAATGGTAAAAACTAGGTGCTTTCTCTCAGTGTCTTCTTAAGACAAGGATGCCCATTATCACAACTTCAGAATTCTACTCTGGGTCCTGACCAATGCAATAAGGAAAGTAAATAAATGGCATTCAGATTGGAAAGGAAAAAGTAAAGCCATCTCTGTTATTAGAAAACATGATCGTCTATGTAGAAAATCCTAAGGAACCTATAAGAAAATTATATGGACTGGGTTTAGAGATTCCACAGAATTCAAGGTTAATATACAAAAATCAACTGTGCTTCTAGGTATTAGCAATCAATAAATGAAAAACTCTTTTAGATGCTTAAAGATTCATAAGACACAGCATCTAAAACCATGAAATACTGAGGGCTAAGCTTGACAAATCAATGCAAAACCTGTGGTATGAAAATAAAAAATACTGCTGTGAAAATTTAGAGAAGGTCTAGATAAGCAGACAAATATACCAAATTATAAACTAAGAAGTTGTCACTTCTCCCCAAGGTGACTTACAGATTCAGCACAGTCATAATCAAAATCTCAGATGGCGTTGCTACAGAAATTAACAAGGTGATTCTAAAATGTATTATCAAAACACAAAAGAACTAAAATAAATTAATTTTTGAAACAGTAGAAAAAAGTCGCAGAACTTAACGATACTTGATTTAAAGTCTGAACTATAAAACCTGTCAAGACAGTGTATTAGTATAAGGATATATAAATCAATAGAAAAGATGAGTTCAGGAAAATTCCATGCAATAATATATTGTCAACCAATTTTCAACAGAAATGCCAATTTAATAAGAAATAGTCTCCTTCAACAAATTGCACTGGAACTGTAAATTCATATAGATAAAAAAAGAACTTCAACCTTTACCTTATGACACACTCTAACCTTAACTTAAAATAGATGATAGTCTTAAATATGAAAGACAAAACTATAAAAATTCTAAAAGAAAGCAGAGGAGAAAATCTTCGCAGCTCCTGGATGGATAAAATTTCTTAGTACAGAAAAAGTACAAATCCCAAAAGAAAAAATAATTGATAAGTTGGACTTCCTCAAAATTGAAAACTTCTGTTTTTCTAAAGAAATCATTAATCCTCAGACCACGAAAATATATTAGATATCGATAGAGATAGATATCTGAATACTTCTATCCCAAAACATAAAAGTTCTTACAACTTAAATACAAATAGCCCAACTTAAAAACAGACAAAAAATCTGAACACTTGGTAGA